TTTTGCTGCTTCCTGCTTCCTATGCCATGGACTGTTTCTCTTCTGTGATGCCCCTCTGTCATGCTACCCTGCCTTGGAACCAGCCAACTATGGACTGAAACCTTACAAACTATGAGCTGAATTAAACCTTCCATGCTTTAACTCTGGGTGTTGGGTATTTTGTCTTAGCAATAAGAAAACTAACTAAGACACTAAGCTTTGACCCATCAAACAGGAAGCTCAACAATCCTTCACATATAGACACTAACTCCTTATTGTCTGTCTTCTCATAGGTTTTTATTTCTTCAACCCAGCTGGTGATCTGTAATAACCCAAGACAGATGGAGAGAAAATAATCCCCAGTAGGTAGGACCCACAGGAAGTACCTATATGAAAACAGAGAACTCCACTTTCTCAGCATAACATAAAGAATTCTGGGGATTTATGTCTCTCAGGGAGAAATCAGATGGGAGATAAGGGCAGAGCAAACTGGCCGGGGAAGTGGGTACAACCTGTCAATCAGAGTTCTAATACACACACACACACACACACACACACACACAACATTTCCCAAAACCCTGTACCTGAAATCAATCAAAAAGGCTATCTTCAATTCTATTTGAAAGAATTTAAGCAGATTTTTGATAGGATGGCTTAGATGTGAAGTCAGTTTGAGGAGTAGGAGATACAAAACACAGACACCCATTGAGCTCTTGACCACTGTGTTTTTTTACAGGAATTTGCTCTCACCCTGTAGAATATACTTCTTTTCTTACTTTTAGTTGGAACTTGCTCTGCTGAGCATGTTTCTTTTCTTTTCATACCTTTAGTAAATGTAAAACCTTGCTACCTTTTGTGCTTATCTTGACCAATTCTTTGTCTAGAACAGAAAGAACCTAGAAAACACCTCTAGAAGGAAACCCCAAAACCCCATAACAGTAACAAATATGGGAGGTATTAATCCAACTGTATCAAGAACTACAGATGTCAATGGCCTAAAGACATCAATTAAGACTTAGAGTGATTAAAAGATCAATTCTATGATGTCTATTAGAAACTTGCTTTAAATGTAAAAACACAGATTAAAGGTTATGGGATGTAGAAAGATATACCATGCTAATACTAACCAAAAGAAAGCAGTAATAGACATATTAATTTCAGGTAGAACACCAAGGAAAGTTATTAGGGATAAAAGGCTTTACATAATGATAAAGGAGTCAATACTTCAAGGCAACATAATAATTTCTTTTTCTTTTTGTTTTGAGACAGTCTTGCAATATAGTGTAGGCTGGTGTTGACTCACTATGTAGCCTTGGCTAGCCTTAAACTCACTGCAATTCTTCTGCCTCAGTCTCCTAGTATTGGGATTACAGGCAAGCACCACTATGCAGGGCTTGGACTACATAATAATTCTTAATTTGTACGTGCCTAAAAACAGAGCATCAAAACACATAAGGACAAAACATAAAACCACAGGATTGGATAAATCCACTAAGCAGAGACTTTAACACATTCATACTGGCTTGAGCTACCGGTGATACACAGAGCTGTCCCATCAGACGGCTTGAACCACTGGTAGTACAAACGAATCTAATCACTTTTATTAGTCTTTTTATTAATAAAATTAATAATTAAAATTTATAGAAATTTTAAATTCTATAAGTGGATCGAATCTAGTTAGTTGTTTGAATGTGTATTGCCCAAATATAAATACTATTCATACAAGTAAAATTATAATATCAACAAATTTATTTCATTACATTAAAAAATTATTTATGTTTGTGAATAGTTTATCAATTCTCTAAATTTTAACATGGAAATCTTATAAGTACCCCACTGCTGGTGTAGATACATTTACATTGCTGTACCACAGATTAGCTGTATTCCAAATTTTTATACTATTTTAATGTTTTCCCTAAAGAACTAATATGGTGACATCCTGTCTGCTAAATCAACATCTTTCTTTGCATTAGTGTAATCAAAGACCCCCTGAGAATTGGTACAAGCTGCCCTCTGGGACAGTCATTTACTACCAGTGGTTCAAGCCAATGGGAATGACTGAATTCAAATCAGAGCCTCCTAGCCATGAGACATATAAATTGCAGCTCTATTGTGAATGTGTTAGCACCCTCCTATCAGAAATGGGCAGATACAAGAGTCAGAAAAGTCAATGAGGTCTCAACAACACCATAAATCAACTGGACATAATGAACATCTATACACTATTGCACGTAACAACAGCAGATTACATCGTTTTTCTCATGCTCACATGGAACATTCACCAAAACAGTTATTTTGTACCAGAAAACACACATTACCAGATGTAAAAGAATACAAATTATTTAATGTCTGCTCTTAGACAACTGAATTAATTAGAAATCAATGACAGAAAGTCAGCTACAAAATCTCCAAATATTTAAGATCAACTATTCATCCTTCTAAGATCATCCTTCTAATTAATATGAGTCAATTAAGAAATATTTAAACAAAGGGTCAGGGATTTAGCTCAGTGGTTCCGCCGCCTGCCTCACAAGCAGAGGGACCTGAGTTCAATCCCCAGTACCAAAGAAGTATTTAAAAAGTAAAAAAGTTCTGCCTGCTGCCCAAGTGCAAGGACCCAAGTTCGATCGCCGGTACCCAAAAAAAGAACAAAAAAAAAAAGTAAAAACTTTTTGATCTATATAAAAATGAAAACATAACTTATCAAACTTTGTCAAATGCAGTGAAGACAGTCTCTTTAAAATTTATTTTATTTTTCCATTACTAGGGTTACTGAACCCAGGGCTTTCAAATTAAATTACATCCCTAGTCCTTTATTTATTTATTTTAATTTTCAAAGCATTACTAAACTGTTAAATTGCCCAGGCTGGACTTGAACTTTCAATTCTCCTGCTTCAGTCTCCCAGAGTGCTGGGATTACAGGTGTGTGCCACCATGCCCAGCCATGAAAGGAAATTTAAAGCTGGGCATGGTGGCACATACAATAATTCCAGCTACTCAAGAGGCTGAGGTGGGAGTTCAATATGGGCAACTTAGACTATGTCTCACAAACAAAAAATAAAAAGGGCTGGGGATATAGCTCAGCAGTAGAGGGGCTTGATCTCGTCACTGAATGCATATATTAGAACAGAAGATCTAAAATCAATATTCTAAGAATTTACCAAAAAAAGAATTTACCTTAAGAAACTAGAAATAGGAAAATTAAATTCTATTTAAGTAGAAGAAAAGAACATACTATCTACAGTAGAAATCAATAAAATTGAAGACAGGAAGCCAAGAGAGGAAATCAATAAACCTGAAGTTGGCCTGGAGAGAGTCAGCAGCCCCAGTGATAAACAATGGACCACTATAGGAGAAACTCACGTTTACTGCATGCTGTAAACCCAATGTAAGGGTTTAATCTGAAAAGGACTTCTCTTGCAAGAAGGCTAGCTGTAGAGAAGCAATTCACTACACTATCTGCCCTATCTCAGAGTGTAGCAAAACCAACAAAGAACCCAGAGTTAAATTACACAATAGACAAATAGACTTAACAAACATCTATAGAATATTGCATCCAACAACTACATAATACATACTCTTTTCAGCAGCTAAAAAATGATGATGATGTTAACATTGATAAAGCACTAAGCATATTAACTAAAAGAGTTACATTCAAGAGACGCAGGCAGGCTCAAATGGCTAAATGATGCAATCATTTATGCACAATCAAAAGCATAAATCCTTGAGTTGGTAAGATTTAGTCCTAAACTCTAACTGCCAGGACTCTAAATAGAGGGCCTATCATCTCAGAGAAGAGCAGCCAATAGTAAATACTGCCCTGTACTCACTAGAGTTGTGAAACAACTATGTATAATGTCTAGATGAGATAAATTTCTTTCCGTATGAGGAAAAGGCCAGGGGAGACATATGCTAAGTTTTATAAACTTCCAGGACAGGGGGAGCTATTTACCTAATCCAGAAACCAGTCAACTTTTGGGAGAAAAGTACCTAAGTGTGATGAAGCCTTTGTTTTGAAGATCATATAATTTCCAAGTTCCTAGAAACCCTGTGCTCATGCTGGTGTCGACAACAGTACCCACAGGTTACCAAACCCCAGCATAAGCTCTGAACAAGCTTCCTCTGATTCCAAGTCTTCTCCATTTCCATTAACCCTAGGTCCAGAACTGCGATTAACAGTGTAGCACTGAACAGTGCAGAGGTACAGTGGTCCCTTAGGCAAAGCTGGGTCTGGATCCACAGGACACAAGAATACAGGTTTACACCCAAAGACATAGGCACTTCAAAAGAGTTCTATTCCTCCCTTGAAAGCAATGTATGTCTGAGTCAGTAGAAGTTCCATAATTTTTATATATTCCTCAATCAAATGCATGTGAAAATTGGTCCTTATGCTAGAAGCCCATATTCTAGATGGAGTAGAAACCGAATGCATGAGGTCATGTGCTTCAATTGCAATATGTGAAATCAATGTCATTATGAAACAAATAATTCTTATATTTTTGATTTTGGTACCGGGGATCGAACTCGGGTCCTTGCGCTTGCGGGGCAGGTGGCAGAACCACTGAGTTAAATCCCCAGCCCCAATTCTTATACTTTTATTACCTCCCAGTTTAACAAGGGAAAAGTTAACCAGAGTGCCATGAGAAAAAAATGCTGTGAACCCTGATTCTTGGGCACAGTGGGACAAAACATTACTGGACCCTCAGCACATGGTCCAAGATGCTTGGGGCCATAACACAATTGAACATACTAGAACAGAGGTTATAGAGGTTACACACCTGGGGCAAAGGTATGAACAAGACAGAGAGGAAAGCTGAGAGGACAAGGGAAGAAACAATTGAGTTAAAAGCAGACTAAAAACATTTTGCTGCAGAAAAAAAGCAAGCCCAGAACTCTGTATGCTTCGGTTAGCCAAGTGATATAACAATGTCATTTGCTGCATCTGCACAAAGTCATACTTAGGAAAAAGGTCAGGTGTCTGTGGACATTCTTTCACTCCATCTTAACCTGCAAGCACTCACCTGTGTGGCCATGGAGTGGGGAGTGTGGCCGTGGTAGTGTAGGTGATGTGCTAGAGGTTACAATCAAACTCTTGCGGTTACTTGTCCGACAACTGCAATGAAAACAAAAATGTCAGTTATCAAAGGGCCACATCATGGACCTTGAGACCTTAAGTAGCTACAGAGGAACAAAAGAGTGACACCATTACACAGGCTGAACAGTTTACTGCTTCAAACTGAACTGGATTATCAATTACTGTTTGCACAAATTAGGTTCCGTAATTTAGTGTGTTTTACCTTGGAATATTTTTTCTTGCTGCCTTGACTTCTGTCTTATATTGTCACTGCACTTTTCCAGCATTTAGGTTTGCTTCCTTAAACAAACACAAGAAATTCTCTAAGGGCCTCAACCATGTTTGTTTGTTTTTTGGTACCAGGGATCGAACTCAGGACCTTGCGCTTGCGAGCCAGGCGCTGGAATCACTAAGCTAAATCCCGGGCCTCAACCATGTTTTTAACTTGCAGTTTTACTATGTTGCCCAAACTGGTCGTGAACTTGTGGTTCTTCTGCCTCAGCATCCTGAGTAGTGGAATTACAGGTGTGCACCAGTTCACCACTGCATCCAGATAACAACTATATACTAAATGATATCTAATGAAGAATGTCCACCCCAAATTTTACTTATAAACACAAGTCAAAATATTCTCTTGGCTAGGGGTGAAGCTCAGTGGTACAATACGTACTTATCATGTTCAAGGCCCTAGGTTTGATCCTCAGCATCAAACAAACCCCAAAACCTTTTATCTTATAAAATTATTTTTTCCATAAAGAATGAAACTGTTAATTTAAGAAATTATTTTTGAACTGCTTAACTAACAAATTAAGTAAAATTCTCACTTCACCATAAATTTCAGAACAGGTCTGAATTTCTTCTATAAAACTGGCTCTCTGATACATGTTAATATCTGAGGATTTTTCCTGTGGTCAGAGAATACCAGATCATTATGAAAAGCTATATCATATAACATCTGTTAGTGGAAAGTTTGTATAAATTTATTTGGAGCTGGACATGGAAGCATACACCTATAATCTCAGCATTCTGGGAGGCTGAGATAGGAGGATCATACGTTCAAGCCCAACCTGGGCAACTTAATGACTTACGGAGATCCTGTCTCAAAATAAAAAAGGGCCAGAATGTAGCTCAGTACAAAAGTAAAAACCCACACATCATCACTGATTCTCCTCTTTTTTTCATGCCCACACTTAAAATCAGCAACTTCTGTGCATTTTACCTCCAAAATATACCCCAAGTTCAAACATGAGCAAACAGGGCAACAAGATGCCCCCCAAACTCCTAACTCCCTAAAAGCTAATGTTGTGGACCTTGAAGTAGAAGAAGCCACAGGCAAAGAACTCAAAAGAGTTCTCTGATCAAAAGAGACAAAGTTGACTACTACATACTGGCAAAGAGAATAATTCAATAAGAAGAGATAACAACTGTAAATATCTATGCACCAGTGTCAGTGCACTCAATTCTATAACACAAAAACTACTGGACTTAAAGGACAGACACCAATACTGTCACAATGGGGGATTTCAATACCTCATTCCACAATTAGATCAACCAACAACAAAAATCAGAGTGAAACCATACCATTGAAAAAAGGGACTTAACAGATATCTAGTGTTTCATCCATCAACAGAATATATATTTTTCTCAACAACACATGGAACTTTTTCCAAAATAGACTGTATCTTAGGCCATAAATCATGCTTACAAAAACACAAGAGAATTGAAATAGTCCACTGCTTACTACTGGATCATAGTGAAATGAGTTAGAAACCAACAGCAAAAGAAGCACAGACTACACAAACCCATGAAGTTTAATAGTTACTGAATAATCAATGGATCACATAAAAAAATCAGAGAATGAAAAGTTACTAGAATCAAATGATGATGGAAGCATAGTATACCAAAACCTATGGGACACAATAAAAGCAGTTCAAGAGGTAATGTTATGGCTTTTATCTAAATGACCCCCCCCCCAGGGCTTTTTGTATGTGGCTGGACCTAGGATGTATGAATACGGATTAAGGGTATATGACAACTAAATTCATCTACTCCTTGGTTTAGCACGGTTCTGGGTGTGGATAATAGGAAGGTCCACCCTGGGTGTGGGTGGCACCAGCTAACAGGGTTGTAGCCTGAATGGAATAAAAGGGGAAGGGAGGCTCAGTGCTGCTTCTTTTCTGCCTCCTGCTTACCCTGTCATGGATTGTTTCTATTCTGCCATGCTGCCATGCTGCTGTGTCTCGGAGCCAGCCAACTATGAATTGAAACCTTAACAAACTGTAAGCTAAAATAAACCTTTCCTCCTTTAAATTGTAGGTGTCAGGTATCTTGTCCCAGGAATGAGAGAGTAACGAAGACAGAAGGTTGCCAGGTGTGATGGTGCAGTCCTGTAATCCCAGCACTCAGGAGGCTGAGGCAGGAGGATTGCTGTGAGTTTAAGGCCAGCCTGGACTACACAGTGAGACTTTCTCTGCCCCCAAAAAGGGAAGAAAGTCATAGCTGTAAAGGTATACATAAAAAGAATAGAGCAATTTCAAGGGCCAAGGAAGAGAAGAATAGAAATCTAAAACTAATGAAAAAAAAAACCAAAAAAAAAAACGGGCATGGTGGCTCAGGCCTGTAATCCTAGCACTCAGGAGGCTAAGGCAGGAGGATCCCAGTCCAGGATATATAGTAAGTTTGAGGCCAGCCTAAACTACAAAATGAGACCCTGTATCAAAAAAGTAAATAAATAAAGGAAGTAAGGAAAGAAACTATAAAGACTAGAGCAGAAATTAATGAAATTGAGACTTAAAAAATACAAAGGATTGGGGCTGGGGATTTAGCCCAGTGCTTCCACCATCTGCCTCACAAGTGCAAGGTCCAGAGTTCGATCCCCAGTACAAAAAAAAAAAGCAAAGGATCATCTCTGAAGGGATGGGAAGGGGAATCTGGGATCTGGGATGGTGGAGATGGGAGGGGGGAGGGGAAGTGGAAAAAAACCAAACAATCAAGATACAATACATATATGTACTAATTCCCCCACAATGAATGTTCTCATATGCCAATAAAAGTTGGAAAAAAGAGAAATAAAGAAGAATTTTTAAATGGAAAGAACTTTAAAAAAAAAGTCATCCTAAAAGTTATGAGGTAGTATCCCATAATGGTTTTGATTTGCATTTCCCTCCTATAGTGACACTGAAGACTTCTTTTATCTTTTAGTCACTTATATATCTTCTTTGGAGAAATGCCTTTTTTTTTTTTGGTACCAGGGATTGAACTTGGGTCCTTGCGCTTGCGCAGCAGGCGGCGAAACCACTGAGCTAAATCCCCAGCCTGGAGAAATGTCTATTCAGGTTTTTTGTCTATTTCTAATTGGGGTGTTTCCTGACTACTGAGTTGTAAAAGTTATTTACACATTTTGGATTAGCCCCTTATTGGACATATGGTTTGCAAATATTTTTTCCTACCCACTGGGGGATGTTTCACTTTTCCTTCACTATGCAAAAGATTTTTAGTCCTATTTATTTTTGCTTTTGTGGTTTGCACTTAAACAAACAAAAAAATCACTGGTAGTATTGCAGATAGGTAAGTTAATTAGATATCTTGTAGGCAATTTGACAGAGCCAGCCCAGAAGGAGCCAACATGGAGGACAGTCAAGAAGCCAACATAAAGGACAATCAAGATACTTTCACTGGGGCCGGGGATTTAGCTCAGTGGTTCCTCCACAGGCCTCGAAAGAGCAAGGTCCCGAGTTCTATTCCCCCGTACCAAAAAAAAAAAAAAAAAAGATACATTCACTTAAAAGACATTCATTGAAGGCCAGAATTGTAAAAGGAAAGAAACTACCACACCCATGTAGGATGAATAGATGAACAGCAGTGACAGATATTCTAAGTAGGTATCAGTCAGCTGGGTAGGGGACAAAGACCTTCCAAGAAAGATCCCTGACCCACCCCTTTCCATTGAAAACCCTTGCTCATTCCTTGTATGCTTGCTGCCTGACTTGTTTCCTCATTGGATCCCTATTTAATCAATATTACCTGGGTGACTGTACTTGTAATCTTATTGGTTGGTCATGGTTTTGTCCCACCTCATGCCCACCTTATAAATTTCCATTGGGTTTTATAGTTTTGTCCCACTTTGTACCCACCTCACCTGATGGCTTTGCTGTATAAAACATCTTTGAAAAGTGGGGTGGGCAGGCAACACACTTTCTGGTCCCCCTTCTGTCTCTCTTAGAAGCTTTCTTTCATTAAATTTTCCTACTCTTAACCTCCATTGTTCCTAGAATTCAATCTTCGATTTTAGAGAATACAAACTTGCATTTTGGATATCTAGCAGGTTTTGAAGTTACATCTCTTCCCCCTATATCAGTAAGGCCAATATTGAGGAACTTTGCCCTTTTATTCTCTCCTACAAATTGGGTTTTGGTTGTATATTTAAGACTTCTACCTATTTTGAGCTGATTTTTGTGTATGGCATAAGATGGGGCCCAATTTCATTCTTTTGCTTGTGGAAACAACCCAAGCAAGTCACTCCCTCAGGGCCTTTACAACTGACCTACCCTTTGCTCTTAAAGGCTTCCCCAGATAGCCTCAGGGCTTGCTCTCTCTCTCAGCTGGCCAGATCTTTGCTCAAGTATGTCAGGGAAATTTCCCCCATCATCCTACTTACAATTATAACCCTTTACTAAACTCTACGCCTCCTCCTAATATATTTTTGTCAACAGTACTTACCATCAGCTGATACATTATATATTTTGTATATTCACTTCATTGGGTCTGTTCTCATTAGAATCTAAGCTCTATGAGGACAGGGGCTTTCATCTAATTTGATTACTGCAGCATTCCTCAATGTCTAGAACTCTGTCTGGCATAAAGTGGGCTCCCAGTAAATATTTCTTAAATGAATGAAAGGATGAGTATGATTTGTTACAAGGATTAAAGTAAAGAATATTCCTGGCATACGTAAGGTACTGTATATCAAACTATTATATCTGAATTCATTGTATATGAAAGCGAAAAACTCTTGAAACTTCAGGTACAGATAACTGATT